TATACAAATATGTAAAACATGTCACACTTTACATTCCCTTTAAAGGATCAGCTAATATGAGAATTTAGTCTACGATACGTTGCCGAAAATACTCTTTAAATTTAAGATATCGATTCTAAAAAACCTTTGAATGAAAGTAAGAAAGAATGTATAAAAATTTATCAACTACATTTAATCTGCTAGTCAACTTTCAGGACTCCACTGTTAAAGGTATTCATATATTCACAAGCCCGTTCAAGTAAAAATTATCCCAGAATTCCAAGCATGTCGCTTAAGGTATAAGGAGATAATAATAAAGTAGTTTTAAAATCTCTTTAGCAGGTCAAAAAATAAGAAGTGGGAATTTGAACGAGAAAGCTGAAAACAGGAAGTAGATTGCAGAAAGTTAGTGTTAAAGATTTATAACGTGAAAGGTAATATTAGTAGACGCTTCGTTTTCCTTCGTGTTTAACATAATTAACAATGAATTATCAATGTGTATCTGAAAAAAAAAATATTTATCTTTTTTGTGAATGTTTGGAAGCATAAAAGATATATTAACCAATTAAGAATGAGGGCGCTGTAACTTAGCTGGTACGTTGTTGCGTCTTCTATGATTCACTGTTTTACGATTCCTTTATGTGACCAATAACAAGAATTTAGAACACACCTATAAAGATTCAATTTAAAAACTATTAATATTCAGAAAGATCTAAGGATATGCATTTTAGCTACATTGGCTGTAATAATTTTGATCACTTGTTAAGATTGGTAAATGTTCAGTTTGAACGATAACGATTAAAACTGTTAACACGAGATTATCTTATGGTTTTACACTTCCGTATTTTAGCTTGATCTCTCTGTTACTCGACTCAGGCTACGTTTTAGATAGGTTAAGTATATTTTGGATAATTTTCAATACAGATGTTGCAGTATAAGGAAACACTTTTATAGCCTTTGCAGGTAAAAACAGCAGGAAAATACAATAATTTCGGACATAAAATTGTTAAGAATTGGAAAATAAATTTTCTAAAGCACAATAAGCTATTTTTATCTGACATCATCGCCGCTGCTCCTGCTATTTATCCTTGTTGCCTTTCTTATGACTGAGTTTAAAGATAGTACTACTACAGAGAATGTCTCTTCTTCGAGATGTCTGCCAGCTTTAATTAATTCCGTTTGCGTGTATCTAAATTATTGAAATGCTGTTCAGCAGAAATACACAAATATTAGAGATGCACAGTGCTTTAGCTGAAATAAATAAAAAAGGTCGTTTTACAAAAAGTAGAATGCACGATCCGAATACATAAAAAATAATACCATTTCTTTATTTTTTTTATACAGTATTGTTGCATTGCCTCTAAAAGAACCGAAACTAAAGATGAAATTAGGACGGAGATGAATCCCCTCCCCCAGTGGCTCAGCGGAACGTCTGCGGACTTATACTGCTAAAAATCGGATTTCGATATCTGTGGTGGGTACAGCATAGCTAGTCCATTGTGAAGCTTCGTGCTTAGCTACAAACAAACAATTCTTCTTTTTTATATTAAAAGTTTCCATCTAAATTTCACACTGTAATTAATAGTTCTTTAAAATTACATGCAACAGCAAATCTGGAAATTTTTGGTTAGCCAGTTTCACAAGCGTTTCTCACAATAATACATTTTCTTTTCACATACGGACCTCGAAAATAAGACAGCCCAGACTTCGCGGGCTCCAGGTAGTAGAAATTGCGGGACGTCACTAGGTCAGGCATTTCGGTCAAATCGCCGTTGGGGGCGCTTTCGAATCTAGGGCAGCTGTGTTTCTCACCAGGTGTTTACAATTTTAAATCATTATGACCCTGTGCTCAGAACACGAATCACATAGAACAGAATTAGTACTCAGGCGATTATAAATCAGAGTTATACACTGTACCAACTTCAAATGGTAAATAATAGATGTTTATTAGATGCCAAGAAGAAAACTATGACACATTCCGCAAATGAGATGCAATAATATTTAAATGAAGTAGGATGCAGTAAATTTTATGAAACACAAGTAGGTCAAAAATGCTTCTGGTGAAGGTCGTTTAGCAGAAATATAGTCTTAACGTCTTTAACCTACTTGCGTTTTAGTTCAGAGTAACGATAACTAATCGAAAATAAGATCTAAAAGTATTTTAGGTTATTCCTTCCTCGATGCTTTACAAATCTTATAGAAGTAAACTTATAGCTTTTGAATTGAGCAATCTTGAAGTGTGAGAATAAATACGGCTAATAAAAATAAGGCATTTTATGTGAACCCCATATTTCAAATAACTCTTAGACAGAAACAATAATTAAAGAACTTGATAATGGCTATACTTCAGAACTATTTGTGAACAACGTTTGTATAACAACTTAATTAATTAATGGGGGAGACTTAGTTGTGTGCAAGTTAACAGCTTAATAGTCAAGTGTATAAATATATAAATGCAATACAAGAATGGACTTGAAACACTGCCTTTTGAGATACATTCTGCGGATTTTTGTACTTTATATAATTAATTAATTCTTTACAATAAACGTTATGAACACAAGTATAATTTATATTACATAAGTAATAAGTAACTCTAGATAATAATTCATATGTAACATTATTTTATAACCTAAGATGCTCTTAACTGTGTAACGTGTTATCCTCGTGTGTTACCTGTGTGGTTGAACTATGGATTTCGGAGCTGGCGAGCCGAGTTCGAATCCATCCGATACCTCAAAATATTCCCCGCATTTAAAGCTGTGGGTGCGTTATAAGATTGACAGCCAATCCCTTACGTGGATGGAGGATGGTAGGATGCTGTTCACTGACCCTCTTCCCTGGTCAGTAGTTCAAAATTAGGGATGGTAGGTGGTAGGAGGTTGCTAACTGACTCTCTTTTCTAGTCAGTATTTCAAAATTATGGATGGTAGGTGGTAGGAGGTTGCTAACTGACTCTCTTTTCTAGTCAGTAGTTCAAAATTAGGGATGGTAGGTAGGAGGAGGTTGCTAACTGACTCTCTTTTCTAGTCAGTAGTTCAAAATTAGGGATGGTAGGTAGTAGGAGGTTGCTAACTGACTCTCTTTTCTAGTCAGTAGTTCAAAATTAGGGATGGCGACGGATAGTCTTAGTAGCTTTTCCGTAATTAAAATAATAAAAAATAGGAACACGACACTTATATATAGATATATTTAAAATTCAATTAAAACAATGTTTAAAAGTATACACTAATTTAAAATTGTTGAAGGCACCAGACCTTACTAAAAATCTACATGTTTCGGTGGGTCACAGACCCATCATCAGGAAGGAAAACCCATCGAAACATGTAGATTTCTAGTAATGCCTGGTGCCTTCAACAATTTTAAATTATTGTGTATTTTTAAATGTTGTTTTAACCGAGTTTTTGATAACAAAAGCTTTACCGTAAATATATAGTTTAGTTGAATATGTTCATTTATACTATGCAATATAGACTTTCGAGAACAATGCCTTTGTCGAAATTATGAACTCTATTATGATATAACAATAAGATAGTGAAGTTATATGTATGAATTATATTTCACCCAATATATTAATTGAACGATAGTATAACATTCACACATGTTCAGTCCAATGTCGCTATTTTGTAAATATGGGATCTTGAAAGATGTCTCCACCGAGGATTCGAAACAGTGTTCCTTCAAAATTAACAAAAAATAACCACTTCATATATATATATACGTGTGTGTGTGTTTCCAGTTATTTCTCACACTGTACTTTTTGAAAGTTGTTAATTATTTTTATTTTATAACATAGAGAGGAGAATGTATACTAATAACCTGAAACTTCGTGGTCGCTGTAGTATTAGACGATCTGTGAAAAGTTTGAATATAGGGCGTTTAACTGTATCCGAGATGTAACCAAAATTTTGTTTGCTGTTCAAAACAACAGAGGATGTACAGAATTACCTCATAAAGTACAAGAATATAGTCTATTCTCCTTTGATATATATATTTGAGTATCAACTGTTTTAAGAGCTACTCGTTTTCGCTCACCAACAAACTGCACACGTATCAAATATTCATATAACAGCACTCACCTGCGTCGGAAATGCTGCATACATTATTTGCACAAGTAGTGCACTTAGGAAATTTCCTGAAGAATATCTCAAGTTTCCTTTAATTAAACTTATAATATAAAATACAACAATAATATTAGTAGTGAACACTGAAGTCTTGTGTGGATCTTTGCAGAATAATAATAATTAACGTACAATTTACAATTTTGATACTGGAACAGTATTAAAACGTGAATGTTGACATAATTTGAATGCTATATATATATATACATCGAAAAATGTGTAAGATTAACTATTGAAATAAATATTTACATGGAGAAATATTTCTTGCACATAAATACTGAACTTTGTTAAACATTTTATAAGCTGCAAATAAAAGTAAATGCATCGAGATTGTTGTTCTCTAGATTCCTGGTTATAAGCTGAAGAAAATCAAAGATAGGATATCGTATTGATTCTTGGCTCAACACTTGAGCCGAGGAGACACATATGAACAGTGCTGATAAATATTAATATTTTATAACAATAGAATGTCAAGGCATATGATTCTTCAACAACAATAATAAGCAATTGGCTCTATACATAACAATATTACAAAATATATGATTAAAATTTGATTCACTTCTTTCTTAGAATAGTCAATTTCTCGACGAGAATACAAAGATAACTTTTGCTTCAAACTGGGAGGATTTAAAATTTCTTAGATACAAATTATTTATCTATTTTATGAATAAGTGTGACATTAACCTCATAGGTTTGATTAATTATATCGTTATGTGGAAATGTCTCGTCTTTGTTGTTGGATCTTATGTAGGTATGACATTTCATCCTGGAATTTGTTTTGACCAGTATAAACTTCTTTATTAAATTAGGAACAAAATAATAATCATGAATAAACTGGCAAACTTCTATAAGAGTAGGACAAAACATAATGTTACTTTTATTAGTTTTATAGTTACGTCTTACCTGATACTTGAGTGTGGTCGTCCAGCTCGACCAACACTCGGCCTGAGAGGAAGGAACCCGGAAAATACAATAAACTTTCGTTATCTAGCAGAATGAGGAACTTACGTAACTTTTTTGTCATTTTAAAATATTTTGGATGTGTTCACCAGCCTTACAAAAAGCTGTCACCAAAATTCAGTTCTTGCGAAAAACATCTAAAAGATTTCGTCCAGAAATATCTCAAGCTGTCGTTCTTGTATGCAGAACAACGCTTGTTTCGAAATCTCGATTACTCAACCTTCTGGGTTTTAACCCGTACCACGTAGCATTTCCTATAGAATGACATAATAACTCTTCACATATCACAACGTTCAGTGTTTGTGTTCTTTTTCTGGTGGGACCATTCCAAAGAAACTTGAGAATAAAACAAGACGTTACACAAACGTGAATATACACCATTAAGCACAAACAGAACCACCAGCCTTACCCAATCCAAAGAAAACATCTCGCTGAAACACACCTAACCGTATATACCTGTACACCTGCGCCGAGGAACAAGGAAAGCCCTGAGGCAACAGAACGGTTCGCGTGGCCTTAGTACCGGATCTTTAGTTGTGGTTGACGTGAGCCGCTACAGAAGGAAGTAACACAGCTCTCTTTCCACCTGGGTGCATTTTCTTTAACCCTACACGTCCTCCCCCTTCTGAAGGGGAATAGGGTGAACAAATTCAATAACTGAATTCTAAGGAAAAATAACAAATAGTTCGACATGTTTATCAACATGTTATTCGTTTTTACACCTAACCGCTTCATGTTAACACTAGTTTACCTTGTCAATAGCAAAATGGACATAACCTCTATATGTAGAATTTGTTAAGATGTTTGTCATATTCTTGCTTTCCGTTTAGACCATATAGAGGCATCTCAAAGATTTGAAACAATTAGTAACAGTACTAATTTACTTACACAGCATAAATATTAAATTCCAAGTTTCGTATTTAGCAGTAGTTAATTAGTTGTGTATTTTTCACATTCAAGTCTTTCAGATTGTACAATAAAAAAGAATCTTGTTCACTAATGCCCCCCCCTCCTTCTCTATAATATTTTTCCATCCGATACGCAGTGATGCAGCAAGTGCAAATGTGATGGTCCCGTATTCTATTTTTTATTGAGGGATACGAACAATTTAATATCATTCATTTCCATCAAAACTTAAGAATTTTGGGTTAGAGGAACTTTTAATTACAACGAATAGATTAGATTAGTTGGTTGGTAATGACCCTACTCTAATTATTTGATTAATGTATTTCTCAGGAAACATCCATTCAACAATGTTCTGTATTGATTTCATGCGATGACTGGTGGCATGAAATGTTATAATTTGTCATCATCTAATCAAGGCTGGTTAATTCAATGGATGATAAAATATTTTCAAATTAAAGCGTTACTACTTGTAATGATGATAAATTTTTATAACGTTGAAAATTTATTCATATCTTATTAAAATTTCCCATTTTTGGAAATTTTCAGTAGTAAATTCTAAGAAGAAACGCGAACTCTTTTTTTTTTTTAACCTACCAATGACACCTAATGACAATGCTAATAAAATTGTAGTTGAATAAATATGTTATTTTTCTGGTCTTGATTCCTATATCAGAAAACTCAGGTTATATTGTCAGTGAAATGTATATATACATATATATCCCGAGTCGGTTCGTATGACCAAATACATATTTTTGCCTTCATACATTTATTGCTATCCTTCTCTCAGAATACATCATTTATAACCTAATGGCGTCTTTTCTTTTCTGGCTGCTATAGTCTATAGGCTTTATCAAGTACGAAATCACGTGACAAAAGTACTTCTATAACGTCATAGCTGCACGAGTTCTATCTAAGTCACCCACACATGCTGTTTTATTCCTTACCTTACTACTATGAAATGTTCTGCGTATGTATGCAATTAGTCTTGAGAACCTTGTCTCCGAAGGATGAATTAAAGGTCACATTTTCAGTGGACGAATGGCGATTCTTTTATAACAAGGAAGTGCGTGGTCGGTCAGTGACCCAAAGGTGAAAAACTTGTCATTAATGGACTTTCTCTTGCGTTCACTTGAAAGTCTTAATTTCAAAGTTTAGGGATCATCGCTACAATTCCTTAAGATTTTTTTACGCACTCTCGAACTGGAAATGAAAGCTTAGAAATTCTTTTTAAAATACTTTATATATAAACTTTGAGCTAGTTTATTTACAAAATGATACCATTCATTACATAAGACGTTTGAACTGTTCATTCCCTACAATAACTAAATTTACAAAAGCAGACGATTCCAATGCTTCGTCATGCTTTCATCCCATTGCGCTTAACATGTTTATTCTGACCTAAGATTTATGTTATTTTTCCTGTGTCATATGCTGATTCATCCTTTAGTTGTTTGACGTCAGGTTTCAGCGTCATTCAGTAAAAGGAATAAGAAATTTCTAGGAATCAACTTGTTATCGGTGAAAGAGAACTCCAGATATCGCTAAGACAAAGATTTTTCACGTTATGTTTTGCGTCACTGACGAAGCGTTGGATAGGGTGACCAACGCTTTTACTGAAACTAAAATAGTTTCTTTTAACTTTGGAACTCGTTGGTGCATATCGTTACGATTATAGCTTTAGAAATGGCATGGTTAACTGTACAACAGAGTGGGCAACCGTCTAGGTCATTCACTTCTATTGGTAGTTTGTTTTTATTTTGTCGAATTCGTCTAAAAAATTATTTTTCGTTAGAAATACTTGAAATATTACCGATAAGCTAATAAGAACAACGGAAGTCAAGTTTAATAAAATGAGTACTATAAATCAAAATTTAAGATACATCGTATGAGATTTAATACAATTGCGATTAATTGTTAGAAACAAATATTATCTATATATATTTTTATTCTATCCAATATTGATGATTTTGGTAAAAAAAAACAAAAACAAACGGAAGTTAATAATTATAATATTAACGTAAATGGCTGCTAATTAGTATTAATGTATTCATATTTTTACCTTACGTCAAAAAACCATGCTGCTTCCTAAAATTTTCAACAACGCAACGAAAGAAAAAACATTTTTTGAATAATGAAGTCTTGTTTTATTGTTAAGCGCAAAGCTGCGCAATGGGATATCCGTACTGTGTCCACAGCAGGGCTCGAACCCGAATCTCTACAATCGTCTGCAGGGTGATATTTTTAAACAGTGATACTTACAAAGAGCAACGTTGAAATTAAAATATAAGTGCTAATTTTATTAAAACGTAGAAGACATTCATGGAGAATGCTATTACAAAAATTCTGGGAAACAGATATGATATTTCTGTATTTACTATAAGTTACCCAAACGGCTGTACTGACACCATTGCAAAAATCGGCTGTCTTTTAGAGCACAAATTTAATTTGTTTTTATTCACACTTTTTAGAAAGTTTATGATCGGGGTTTATCGTGTAGGGTGTTATTCGATTCTCTTACTAGAACCTCTAAGAAACCGACAGTGATTACTCGACTGTTACGTTTAAATGCTAACTCTAAATGATTAATGGCTTACTTTTAGGTCATGACTGGCATTAAGGTTAGAACAACACGCAAACGCCAAAATTTTCGACGCCATCACCCATTATCCAAGCTATGCAAGTTTTAGTATTATGCCATATATGTTACAGATTTTACTGATACGTTCACAAATTGCATTCAGCACTTACAAGCCGGAACTAGTGAATGAATAATGGACTTTAAGATGCAAAGTCTCTTAAAATGTCGTAGTTGATATAGAGAGCGTACAAAACCTTATTACATTTACTGTTAAAAAGCTTTAGTTGTCATCGAATTACCTTGACTAGTAAAATATTTTAAATGTAACGAATCAAAAATATTTTACATTTTTACAGGTCTTCAAACGATCTGCAACTTCTTCGTTGGAAAAAAAGGCAAAATTGTCATGGCACAATAACAACAACGGTAAACAATTTGACGTCGCAGAATTATATAGTGGCTACATTCTACGAAAAATATAATTGTTTTAAACACTTTTTTTATCGTTCTTGTTTTACAGTTAATTAAAGTTAATTAAAATATTATATTTGTGCAGGGGTCTGAGAAAATACCGAAACATCTGATTAAAAAGGTTCAGTATGGCAATAGTTAATTTGGGTTGGCAGAAAAGTGTTAATACATTTCAACAGAAATGTAACATCATTCTTGAATGAGAACCGCCTACAATCTGTTCAGGAATGTTGGAACAAAAATGCGACGCCTATGTCTGGTTTTAAGACAATGGATCGATGAGATAGCTATTGAGATGTGATGACTGATCGGATAAGGATAGATAACTAAAAGCTTCCTCATGCTCAGCGAACCATTAAGTAGCTGCTTAATGAATACGAATACGAACATTGCCTTATTGAAATATAACATCATCGGTGGGATTAAATTACTGTATCTTAGGGTGAACTTGGTGTCCTAGAATATTACTGTGTGTTTGTTTGTAGTTAAGCACAAAGCTACATAATAGGCTACCTGTGCTGTACCCACAATAAGTATCGAAACCCTATATCTGGCGTTATAAATCCGCAGAGTTACCGCTGTACCACTTGAGGGCAGAATGTTACTGTATTCAGTAGGCTTAGCTGTTATTCTCCTTTTTAGTGGTTCCCCAGTGGCACAGCGGTATGTCTGCGGACTTACGACGCTAGAAACCGGGTTTCGATACCCTTAGTGGGCACAGCACATATAGCCCATTGTGTAGTTTTGTGCTTAATTACGAACAACCAACCCTTTCAGTGTATCGACTGGACCTACTACATTATAAGAAAATGCAAGTCACTATTATGGAATAACTTAAGTTGAAGCCAGGCACTCAAGGTTTGGGTTTTCTTGGGCTTAACCCTACTAACACGCTCGTATTTGATGGGAAAAAAATAAATGTTGCCTCATTTGACAAAATCATCTTTCGCCGTTGTTCCTGGGTTCATAGATTATGGGTCATTGCACCATTGTACGTACAAACACGTGTTTTTTAAACAATGAACGATTCCTCTGTAGCTGATTTACTGTGAAATCTCAGATAATTCAGTTTTCTTGATAATGGTTACAGGAATCTGTCATTGAATTCTAAGGTTACCTTAATTACTGTTTTTGTTGTGGTTTTTCACAATGCCAATACATAGAGGTGGTCCTAACCCTCACATAAAGGTCTTCTTGTCACCGTTGGTTTTTGATAATTAACGTTTTATCAAGATGTTAGTATCACCTTAAAGACCGATGTTCTTGACACATCACTATTTGTGTGGCATGCCTAAGTTATGATTCTTTTTTAAACATCTGTTAAGTTATTTTCGAAGAACAGCGTGATATTTGGAACTAAAACATAGCTGTGATGGTTGTTAAGACTTGACTCCATATAAAAGACTAGTCGCTCAAAGCAATATGTTGGATAAGTCACATTTTAAATGAAGATATTTTGTCAAGAGCAGGTTGCGGGAGGAAGATGTTGACTAAAAAAGAGACAGTTGGAATTTTTCAGACACTTTATGATGAAGGAAGAAATTGAAAATCAGGTCGTAACTGAAAATATTGAAGACAGGAGAGACAGTGAAAGACAGAGGTTGACTTAAGTCAAGAGTCTATATAAATGGATGAATGTATCGACATTGGAAATTCTTTATGCCATAAGGAGAAGAGATCTGCGGAATACCATGGTCACCAAAGTCCCGTTTGCATATGGTACCTAAATACAGAGGCTCGATGCAGACTTGCATATCTCACTTTCTGCCTTATTGACTGATCTCTAGTTTTTATGGCTGTTGTAGTTGAACTAACGACACAGAAATAAGTCTTTTGAATATGTACATGTTCACTGCTTATTAAATGAAAATGATGACTGTACACGGTCTTATATACATTAAACTCATTTTATAGCTTCTTCATAAAATACACAATGGCTCACACCATCTCTTTCGCAAAGCTCAAATTCTTAAGTGTTTGTTAAGACTTTATAAAGGTGCATATTAAAATAATCTGTATGATGATCATATAGCTTTGTTTTGGAAATGTTCTATTTTATTTAGTTAGCAATTGTAAAGTTAAGGCACGCTGGAGAGGCATGCTCTGTTATTCTAGTTAGTAATTGTAAAGTTAAGCCGTTCTGGAGAAGCATGCTCTTTTATTCTAGTTAGTAATTGTAAAGTTAAGCCATGCTAGAGAGGCACGCTCTGCTCTTCTAGTTAGTAATTGTAAAGTTAAGCCATTCTGGAGAGACATGCTCTTTTATTCTATTTATTAATTGTAAAGTTAAGTCCTTCTGGAGAGGCATGCTCTGTTATAGGTCTGATGAGAGTGTTGCACACTTTAATGACAGTTTTGGATGATTAATCCCACCTGTTTGCCACAGATACTTAAGAGAAAGTTTATACGCCTCCAGATTTTATTTTTGAAATTATTTAGATAATCCAAGCCCCCCCCCCCCAGTGGCACAGCGGTATGTCTGCGGACTTACAACACTAGAAATCGGGTTTCGATACCCGTGGTGGGCAGAGCACAGATAGCCCATTGTGTAGCTTTGTGCTTAACTTCAAACAAACAAATAATTTTCCAAACATATTACTGCCACAGGTGATCCCAGGTTGGTGATATGTTCATTTGCAGTTTTGTTAAACCTTACGCACACACACGCATGTATGCAAAAGCACATGTGTTTTATGGGCAGGCTTACCCGTTTAGAGAAGGGGATTTAGATGTCTACTGAAAGCAGCACTTATATTTTTTCGTCCAACACGTGTATAGTAAATATAATATAGTCCTTCGGTGGGACAGCGGTAAGTTTACGAACTAAAAAACGTTAAAATCCGGGGCTCGCTTTCCCACGGTGGACACAGCAGCTAACCCAATGTGGCTTTGCTCTTCAACGAAACAAACAAACAAATATAATATAGAAATTATAAACATTTTTTAAAACTTATTATGACATCACAAATGTATTGAAATTAATTTTTAAGCTCGTACAGTGGGTCGAAAACGAACCAGTGCAATTTTGAGAAGTTTATTTCACAGTTTTAACTTTAGCACAATAAATTTGTTTAAAATGTTCACCCGACTGCGATAATCCTGCTTCTGGTCCTACTGACACACATGGACACAAATACAAAATACAGCAATGATGAGAGAAATGAGTGAAGCATTCAACAACCGGCCGGAAAAATCATTACGCTTTTGCTACTTTTTATTACTTTATTACTAACATACTTTCTACAAACATATGGTCCACTGTTTACTTTTAAACACAGAGATGACGTATATCGCAGACAGTTGCAATACATGTTTCGTTTTCCATACACTACGGATATTACATAAGCCTCTTTCGTATTATAATAGCTATCAAAGTAAGCCATTTATATGTGGATACATATTCAAAAAATATAATGACAGATGTATAAGTATCATTCCTACAATTGACTGTTACCATTATATCTTAACATTATCCAATCTTAAATACAAATTTAGTTAGATTTATATCTGAGAGGATAATGTTTTTTTTGTTTTTTTATTGGAACATCAAACTAATCATTCTTCATGAAAAAATAAATCATTATTGATGTGGAATATCAATAACTGGAAAAATATCGTTCAAATTTCAACTCCTTTTTTAACATACGATCAAAACGTTTTATCTGAATTTTGTATCAGTTAGAGAAAGAAAAACTTTGTGCTTTACGCATAGTAAACATTAAATCTTGAAAAACCATACAGATGTGACGTAACAGAAGTTTTTATTTCCCGTGAGGGTTTTTCTTTTGTAATTTTGTTACATGTTACATAGTTCCCAAGCCAGGTTGTTTATGATTTCTGGATAGAATTCTTTGTTTTACGACATCAGATTGATCTATATTTTAGTAGCGCTCAAAAAATACCTATAAAAATCTTTAGGCTTACTACTCTCAGTTACATACTTTATTCATCTTTGTGTACGTACATATAGCGTACACTTTATAGGTATCCATTACTCAAAACTTACTATTAATATTTCTTAGGACTTCTTCAAAATTCACTGCTTTGAATTTTTTAAGATCGTAGGTAGGGAATGAAACCTTTGGTATGTGTTTTCAAGTTTATCATCACTAAACAGCGGTATGCAGCTGCAGAAATAAGACAGTGAATGTCGGAGAAGCCCCAAGATTTATCCTAAAACTTTCTGTGAAAGCATGATATCGGGCTGTAGATAAGCGGTAGTCACGTGATATACACTACATGTAATATAACTACTGGAAAACTTGAGTATCCAAGACAAATACATCTGTTTAGGGAGGTATACAGAGTAAGGAGGTTAGCATATACTGCATATTTTACGGTACAACGTATACGTACAAACATATATCATGTAGAAGGCCCTAAGGCACAACATAACGAAAGGATTAAGCAATAATTTTTTATTGCCACAGTTAAAGCTTTGTGTTTATTAAATTTCTTATATATATATATATATATATGTGTGTCTGTTAAAACACGAAAATAACTCTTATCTGAAATAATATAGACAGGCGATTATCAATTACTCAGAGCTCAATACGAAAGCTTGTACAATTATAATGAATCGACACCTTATTTTTATTTTTTTACAGAAGCACACATTTTTGATCATCCCGTTTCACCTCGGCTTCCTCAGAAAGTTTGGGTCCACTAGATTTTCGTCGAATCGTAAGTCCAGTAAGTGAGCTTAAAGAACTTAATCTTCTGCTCAGTCGCTTCGAATACCGGCCGCTAGATGGGTCTGGAGTCGGAGGTTGTTCCATGGCTTTAGCTTGAAGCAAAAGTTGTACGAAAAGCTGGCTTACGTTGACGTTGTACTTGGCGCTGGTTTCGATGTAGCGACAATTGTTCATAACGTCCTTTGCTATCTCTTGGGCTTCTGCTTCGGATACTTTTCTTTCTTTGTTCAAATCCGATTTGTTACCCACTAATATAACGGGTACTTGAGAACCTGCAAGATTTCAAAATTAACTGAATATTTATAAATTATTATTTCATCAAAGTTTCAAAATTACGGACCGGAAATTACGTTTATCAAAGCAGGTTAAAATTGATTTTGCCTTTTGCTATGCTGTTAACTGTATTGAGCATAGTTTAATGGTACTAAAAGGTTTGGTTTGGTTTGAATTTCGCGCAAAGCTACACGAAGGCAGTCTGCGCTAGCCGTCCCTAATTTAGTGTAAGACTAGAGGGAAGGCAGGTAGTCATCATCACTCACCGCCAACTCTTGAGCTATTCTTTTAACAACGAATAGTGGGATTGACTGTCATATCATAACGCCCCCACGGCTGAAAGGGCGAGCAAGTTTGGTGGGACGGGAATTCAAACTCGCGACTCTCAGATCACAAGTCAAGCGCCCTAATCACCTGGCTATGCCGGGCCTAGCTGGATTGACTATCACTTTTATAATGTGACCACATCTGAAAACGCGAAGCATGTTCAGCAACATCACGACTCGAACCCTGGACTTAATGATCCTCAATCCGAATAATGACAGAGTGGTATAAAACTGATACAGGCACGCTAACAATTGAATAACTGTAACGTTTTTTGTGAATTGTGTGCTCATTAATGATACGTACCAGAACATAAAACATCAGAATGTTTATACAGAAACTCATCAAGTTCATTGACTTCTGGCCAAGATGCAATTCGCCTAAGATAAATGATTGTAATAGCAATTCTATCATAAACTGAACTATCTAGTTCTTTGCCAATTCTATAGAAAATGATTAATATTTCTATCTCAAAAGTTAGACGTCACTTTCTATAAACTTCACAAATAAGTCTGTCAAAATGAAAAATATATATATATATAAAAATTATTTGATCTGACAAATAATAAGCTGGAAAGCCTTAAGAACAGAAAGGTGATTTTTTTAAAAGTGGGCTTGATTAAGTGATTCTAATAAGCCTAATACCAATGTCTTATGACAAGTATACTTATAATCATATTTAATCAGCTTGTGAAAGGCGTTCACATCATAACAATTGTTGTTGTAACAAATGACTTATATAAGTAGTGTTCCGACCATTTCTGTGTTTGTTATTTACCAGCCGGCAATTATTATGCACTTTTCTAATTCTAGAAAATCCTTAAGAATGTAGTGTTTAAAGATATAATAGGTCTAATACTAATGTCTTATGACAGATATAATTATAATTATGCTTCACCAGTTTGTAAAAGGCGTTCACACAACTGAAATTTAGAGTATTGTTCTGGTTTAGTCTTGACTATGAAATTTCAATTCACTACAGCTGACACACATTATGTGATATGAGTGTTGTAGGCTCTGGTTATGATACTAACTTCCTATACTTTTAGTCCATGAGTGAGTCAGCGGTAAGTTTATAGACTTACAACGATAAAATTCGAAGTTCGATTCCTCGTGGTGGATAAACTATTACGTAGCTTTGATGTAAAAATAAACAAACCTATACATATAAAAATGCATGCCATGCAAAAGTTTTAATTTGTCATTTCTGTACTTAATATCGGAATTAAGAAATCTATGATGTAAATTCTCGCATTTTACACTATTTAGACTAGAATTTTCATACGAGACAGACGGCAAGCTTGTTGTCAATGAAATAGTGATGACTTTCACAGATTCATTACGTTGAATCCAGAGTTTAGTTAAGGCTGAAACACCATCATCAACAATCCTGTAACAGTATGTGTCGCTAATATAACACAGGAGTAATAAAAATATATTAATATAAATGTAGCACATGAAATCCTTCAAGAAACTAGGAAGGAAAAGAAACAAACATGAGTATACGAAAATAGTTTCTGATAAACTCTTGACTTTCCTTATATGTATGCACAACGAAAACAACGAGTTTCCTATCTCCAAATAGTAGCCTTGTGATCAAATATAATTATTTTCGATCTGAAATGAACACTCATACTTAAACTATAATATGAGTTATTTTTCATCATCTCATCGATATTTTTTAACTTCTGCTTGCACACGTTTATGAATGCTCGCATTTTATTTATTTCTTCTTCTTTTTTTGACGTGTCTTATTTGCACTGTTTATGTTGATAAACAATCTCTAAGCCTTGAGATCACGTATGATAAAATCCGAAAACATCCACATATTAAACGTGTTTATAATTTACAATGTGGTGGTTCTCTTTTAAAACCTGACTGTGCTATAATAAACAGAACGGTTGTGTGATAATTCAATTTTACAAACAAAGAAAAAAACATCTTACTCTGCTTGACTTATGACTCTGTTTATGATCCCATTACTTTTGTAAACAGAAAAAAAAATAGGAACCTGACAAAATATTAGTTTCAATATTTTAATTTAAAATAGGTTCCTAAACATGCGCTAAATATAATCACGAATCTCCTTTTTTTATCTCATTTTGTTTTCTTTTCAGCAAGGGTCGGCGGCAGAAAGTTCCAAAAACAAATTGTCCACTCGTTACACTGAAGGTTTGAAATATGATAATTTATTTTTAAAAAAGTCAGGAATTTGTTTTTATTTATTTTCTTTTTTGTCGTTGGTGGTGATATTCATATCAGTCAGTCAGTACTCTAACGGTTGCTTGTTGAATTTATTTCAGACTAGGAAAATTATTCATCTTATTCTCACATCTCTAGCTTGGTGAGGTATAGTACTGTGCGAAGGGCCTCTTTGGCAGCGGCAGTCACTGTTCTACACTCTTCTTACCGAAATCCCTATTGGGCCAGAAAAAAAAATATGTTTGATAAATGTTATTAACATTCTCATTACGATGTTAGCTGAAACCAGATCTACTCGACTCAGTGACCAAAATCTTCTTTAGGATTCTATGAAGAATGAAATATAGTAGCCGAACTGACGAGCAATGGCATTAAACGAAAGGTTAGTTGTAATGCTATCATGTACCCTTTCCACTAGAAACTCGTATAAAGCTAGTATAGAGAAAACTGCCTGTGATTTAAATTAAATTTTTATCAGTGTTATTGAGATGTTAATAACGTACACGTATTATTACTAAATGACATACTGCTCTAACTAACGTATTATGCGTTTCAATACTTCATTTCTCGTAAACGACTAATGTGAATAATTTCCACAAAAAATTTTTATATGTATGTTGTAATTCTTCTAGCCTGGTGAGGTATAGTACTGAGCGAAAGGCCTCTTTGGCAGCGGCAGTCACTGTTCTACACTCTTTTTACTGAAATCCCTACTGGGCCAGTAAAACATGTTTGATAAATGTTACAACAGTCTCATTACGATGTAATATCAAGCCTATTAAAACATGAAGCTTTCCCATCTTAGATACTATATACCATATGACTCAAAAATCGTATCAGGCAGTAAAAGTTCCTGTCTTTAATACATAACTTAACCTGACATCCGTGTGAAGTAGCATCCACGATGCTTAGAAACCATTGAAGGAAAAGATAGACAGTAAAAACTAATCAAAATAAATGGTAAAAGAACCGTAATCGCTTGTTTGGCCAAGGAACTAACCGGGTAGAATTAACAGCGGTAAAAAAAGTTAGGCCTAAATAGTTTAATGTTAAGAGTTTCAGGCAACGTTTTGTCGTCAAGAGTCTTACTAAAATTAAAACAAAATGTTAAAAAGTATAAGATAATATAAATAAATCAGTAAAAACACAGGGATAAATTACGTTTTATTTAATAAGCACGATTATTGTTGGAATTGTCTTTAAACGATTAGTCATCAGCACGTGGCTGTTTTTTGTTTTTAGATTTTAATGTGTTTAATTCAATTTTACACCACCATACATTTTTATACCACCACGAAAGAAATACACATAGTTCATATAAAATGTCATGGTTACTAATTCATCTTTTTTTAAGAAGAAGATCGTGATAAGAGGCTAAAAATGCAGACTTACATGATTAATCTAGGCAATTGTAAACCACTTTTATTCGTTACACCCACGATGGGATTTAACAAGTCTTTTCATTCAGAAACGTATCTTGTCGTTAATGAACAAACTCTAATGCTTCACTAAAACAAAAGAAAACCGAATAGAGATAGAGACAAAAAAAAATATTGTGATAGATAATAGGAATGACATTGACTTTTCTGTTTCTGCTCAATATCCATTCCATCTGTCACCTAATTTCCAAGTAATTACAACCTAGAAATGTTTCGGCACGTCTGTTACATTCTTGCGCCTGTTCGATTTATGATAGTAAAAAAAAAAAAGACGCTACCATAATATGAAGCGTTACTTTACTGAGTAATAAAAGCTTGCAGCTAAACAATGTCATTTTTATTTCCAAGCAAATACTTAACATTTTCGAAAAAACAAACAAACCTTAACCAAAAATATTGGAAACTAAACAACCTAACAAGAACATCACCTTAATAACTAAAAGCATTGGAAACTAAACAATGTAACAAGAACATCACCTTAATAACTAAAAGCATTGGAAACTAAACAATGTAACAAGAACATTACCTTAACTAAAAGCATTGAAAACTAAACAATGTAACAAGAACATTACCTTAACTAAAAGCATTGGAAACTAAACAATGTAACAAGAACATTACCTTAACCAAAAACATTGGAAACTAAACAATGTAACAAGAACATTAACTTAACCAAAAACATTGGAAACTAAACAATGTAACAAGAATATTACCTTAACCTAAAGCATTGGAAACTAAACAATGTAACAAGAACATTCCTTAACTAAAAGCATTGGAAATTAAACAATGTAACAAGAACATTACCTTAACTAAAAGCATTGGAAACTAAACAATGTAACAAGAACATTACCTTAACCAAAAACATTGGAAACTAAACAATGTAACAAGAACATTAACTTAACCAAAAACATTGAAAACTAAACAATGTAACAAGAACATTGTTTACGAAAGGTAAGCGTGTTATCGTATTACGAGTCTATTTGTCAAGAAACATTTTCCACAACAAAGGCTTCATGTCTATCTATATACCTATCCGTTTGTTTTTCTGTCAGTCGGCCTGGGCCTATTTGTTCCTCTATCAATCTAATAACGTTCCAATACAGTATTGAGAACTTACCTCTCAGTTTTGTTATCAAGTTCCATAATTCAGTGACTTCATGGAATGACTGCTTGTCGTCTACACTAAAAACAATAACAAACCCCCGACCGGATCGGATACTTAATTCTCTCATAGCAGGGAAATGGTGAGATCCTGCTGTGTCCAAAATCTCTACTGTGTGAAAGATGCCATCTGGTGGTAAAGTAAAAAAAAACGATTATTACTATTTTGATAAATTAATATTATATTGTCTTTAAAAATATACTGTGTTATTTAAAAAAGGGAGATTCCTTCATAAAAATCTAAAGTTTTATATAAAAATGAACAATAGGTAAACATATTTGACTTCTTTTATATCTTAAGCTACACATTTCTTTGTAGATTGTTTTAGTTCCAGGTTCAGTTTTCAAAAAGATGATAAAGAAAGAGTTTAGTTGTAGAGACTAGTTACGTAATATTGGTTGAAAGGTAAATCCATGATAACCGTTGCAGGGTCAACTCATTGGGCTATGCATGCACGTGCCTTTAAAAATATTGTTTACGCGTATACCCTACGCTAATAGTTCTCTTTCTTTAATACAAGTTTTGGAATCGACACAATCTAACTCATTGAAGTAAATACTAAATAAATTGTTCTAATGTATGAAGTAACTAAATTTTGGAATCTTCTGTCACACAAGTAATGCTTCGCACACTGGTTCAGCTATTTTAAGACTGGTTTAAATATTGTATTTTGATATTCTCAATTTGAACGGTTTGTTCCTTATGCCATGCACGAGTTAAAAAGCCAAGTCAAAGATCCCGAAGTTCTGGCATAGCCACTAGTAGTTTTGAACAGTTGATCAGAACGAGGGCAACCAGTCAGCAGCAGCCACATAAACGGTTAATCCTAACAGAACAGCAAAATTGACTGCCACTTTTATAACGCTTCTAAAGCTGAAAATGCGGAGCTAGAACCTTAGATCTTTGTATAAGCATCCCGGTGCACTAATCAAAGGTAAGATAGCCGTTTTGTGTTGGAAGTTTACGCCTTAACATAAAAGTACTTTAATTTCATACAAAGTTAAAAGTTTTCGTTTTTATGGGATTAATTAGGGTTCCTAACGAAGGAGCAATGTCACAAACTTGGTTATTGTAGACTAATCATGTCTGAAACTCTGCATATAACTCTATATTTAACACAGTACCTAACAGGTTAAAATATATTAAGTTGTAAAATATATTAAACATACATAATAGAACTATATCCTCAGAGAATATATTCAAGGACTGTAGACACTTTAAAAATAAACTTCTTTTACTCCACAGTTTCGTATTAAATTCACTAGTTGTTGAAAAGCTCTCACATACGAAAGATGCATTAGCAAACATGGAATGTACAACGATTACTAATAAATCTAATAAGAAGACTTATATACGTGTGAAAGACTCCCGTCGTTAAAGCAGAATTACAGAAAATATATCTGAAGTTTTAAGCTATATTAAGTTTTACAAATTATGTAAACTGCTACTAAATGCATTACCGAGTTTCAAAGAAAATTAAAAAACTTACATAGGACTGTGTTGGCATGCTCTATAATAAGATCACCAGTTAATTCACTTAAGAAAACTTTTATGTTCAGCTTTAACTAGGGGAGCATATTGCAAATTTTCTTTCGGTGTAAGGACTGATAACACTAGTTCTTTGATATTATAAAGCTCAATTAATTCATATGAATATTTTTTTATAGACTGTATTTGTAGTTTTTTTTAACGTATATTTATAAATGCAAACGTAACTCCTTCCTAGGTTCGGAAGCCAAAACATTATTTTTTTTTTCTGTTTTAGGCCTGAAGTCCTCAGAAAATTCTCAATAACACTTCTGCATTTTTGTTTCACGTAATTTTAAGATTATATGTTAATTTGAACTCAACATCTTTCTAACTGCCTGTTTTATTTACGTACAGATGGTTGAGTACGTTACTGTAAAAGAATTTTGAATATGCAAATCAGCAAGTCACGTGAAAAACCACAATTGATATAGAGTTGCGGTGGAAAGGAATGTATCAGAACTACATTTGGACATTACTGGGTGTTTTATAGGTTGTGTAAAATCTGCGAGATACTGCTTATCGTATGCTAACGGTGTCTGAAACTTTATCTGTGTTCGTCCACAAGTAAAAAATAGCAACAGCAGGTAATATATATATATATATATATATATATATGAAACTGAAAATATTTTTAACATTTAACCTATTTATATATATATCCATCTGTCTAACTGCCATAGTAAAGTAAGGAAATTCGAGAATGATTAGATAAGTAAATATTGGGTTTTAGAAACTCGTATTGTTTCCTTATCAACTTTGAAGTTTTCTTTCAAATGGAAACCCCATGTGCTAATATGTTTGAGGAAAAGGTATTTGTGACCGGAAATATGTATTAACTAGTGAAAAAAACTCGTTGTA